GACCCTTGTTTAAAATTTCTACGTATTACAGCAATTACTGTCTTTTCAGTCAACACTATCATGTACAACTGTCAACTTTGCAGGATTTAAAACGAAAGTAGAATGGTAGATGAATACCGATCTCGATGAGAATTAAGACAAAGAAAAAAATCGAGGCAGGGTATAAATTCTAGGTGGGCAGGGATGAGAATCTAGAAATATATTTATTATGGCCAATATTCAGTAAAAGATATAAAATTCAGATAGGTTAAAATTCTGTAATCATGCAGTTTATTCCGTAAAAGATATAAAATGCAGCTTATTCCGTAAAAAAAGATAAGTATGCAGCTAATAGTCCGTTTTCCAATACCCAACTCCGGCGTTGGTTTCCTCTTTTACATTACCCGCGATCACGTGACACCAGACATTCCTTCGTTGTTTACAAATGGCGAGTAGTTGCTTCGCTTTGTTGAAGGTAACTGATTTGCAGAAATATTTATCAGATCGTGGCATTACTGCTACAAATTTACGGAGGAATAATCTTATTGAACTTTGTGAAGCTGTTAAGTCACTCGATTTATCAATTGATCCTGATTTTACATGCAATACTACACTTGATCTAAAGAAAAAGTTGGTACAACTACCCATTTCAGATCCATTCCTTGACAACGACTTCACGCCCGATTTCTCAGAGATTCCATCCAATTTCACTTTATATGACATATTTAATTATCTTTTACACAAAACATCAGACTATGATAAAAAGAAGTTAAGAGCCTACAAATCGTGTGAGGATTATAGATTATTTATAGACGGCCACGTAGAGAGTCTGACATTCAACAAGTGTGGAGATGCTGAGGTCTGTTTGTTTCGAGCGAAAGTTAAACCTACTCAAAAAGAGACTACATATATGAGTACAAAGTTTTACCAACTATGGTTCTCTATCAAGAAAGCAACTGGAGAAGTCGCTTCAGCCTACTGTACATGTATTGGGGGGTTAGTATGTTTTAAAGAATGTGTATTTAAGCTTGTTAAGTAAGTCAGCTGATTGCATATTGTTACATTTGAAATAAGTAATTTCAGTTCAAAAAGGAATATGTGATGAATGTTCTTTTTATGATTTTAGAATGGATGGTGCTTGCAGACATGTTTCTGCTGCTCTGTATGAGCTTGAAGACTTTGAAATGAAGTCGGTGACAGATGGGGAAAACAAATGGATGAAAAGACCCAGAAGCCACGACTGTCCAGTGCCTGTTAAAAGGCTAAGGATTGTAAAAGCAAAGTAAATATTAATACAAGTTGTTTTTGTTTTAAAAAATTCATTACATGTTCTTGTTTTTATTTTTCATTTCTATTTTACTTTTTTGTTTATATTTTCTCTTTGTAGTTGAGGTTTAATTTTGAATAATTCAAGAGTGTTGACTGTTACCTGTGTTGTTGAAACTGAGAAGTCAGTGAGCCGTTGCTCACTAGTAAGTAAATCTAAATTAAACATGCATTTCTTATGTTTTTCTATGTATTTATTATAATATTTATAGAACACAAGGGTAGTTTGAAATCTGACTCAAGTAATATTTTGCTTTGTGAAAAATCTTTCATGATTTTCTTTCATTTAACAGATTTTCCGTTTTGAACGAAGAGAAAGAAAATTTGCTGGATCTGTATGATCCTAGATCAACTGAAGATCGCAACAAGGAGATCAACATAGCTAATTTTGCCAAGAATTTAACACAGGTATTATTACATCAATTATGAATGAGTTGTTAAAACATTTTTATGTATGATATTGTACATTTTATCATTCACTAAGGAATCTGTTGTATTTAGTTGCAAGCAGATACACAGGCACTAGACATTTTAGAGGATGGCAGTATTAATCCAACAGCTGAATCAAAAGATACGGATATGTCATGCCTTGCCAATTCAGTGAAAGAACAGTTAAAGAATATTTCTAGTAAGAAATTAATATATTGTAAGAAATTAATATACGTATAACATGAATTTGCATTTTCATCCCAGCATGATTAATATTTCTTATTCATAAAATTGGTTATACCAGCTGTAATTTAAAAGTCTGTTTATAGTTGTTAGGATGTAATATAAGAAATTCAAAGTGAGATATTTTTGTTTTGATGTGTAAATTTTAAAAGGAAGTAATGTATTACTCAAAGCTTTTTTTCACATATCACCTATTTTATAATATCAACAAAATACATTTCATGTTTTTGTGCATTTCTATTATGATCTTTGAATTGTTACAAAATTTCAAAAAGTTTCTACATCCAATTTGATTTTTTGCATCAACTTTTGTATCATACATGCATGTATTTTTACTGGATTTTAGTGTCTGACCACGGAACTCCAACTGTATCCCAGTTTCGAGAAAGTTTTGGACAGTTGCACCAGAAATTATCATGGATATTGAGCAGAGCACTAGAGGTCAAACTGAAAATCCAGCATGGACGGCTATGAGATATGGAATGCTTACAGCTTCTAATTTTCGTAAAATTTGCCAAGCAGTAGACAAGGGTCACTGCCCACCGTCACTTCTAAAATCAATCATGTTGAAATACAACACAAGCATTTCTGTGCCTTCTATAAATTGGGGGTTAAAAAAAGAGAAAGTGGCTCGTGAGCTTTACACAAGGGCAAGTAGGTGTTTTCACAAGAGAGTGTGCGTCGAGGAAAAGGGTCTGTATGTCATGAGTGATTACCCTTTTATTGGTTGTAGTGTAGATGGAATTCTTTCTTGCCAGTGTCATGGAAAAAGAATTTTTGAGATAAAATGCCCATTTTCATTAAAACATATGCATCCTAAAGAGGTTGCTGTTCAGAAAGGCTGTTCAGTTGTTGATAACATGTCTTTTGTCACCGAGAAATCTGAATATTATCATCAGATGCAAGGTCAGATGGGTATTTATGGTATTCCACACTGTGATCTTGTCATTTATACAGAAAAAGGTATCCATGTTTCACAACTTCCATTTCATGAAGCATTTTTCAGAGATATGATAATGAAAATGAATGTTTTTTTTGATCGTTATTTATTTCAACAGTTGTTGACTGATGTATCAAATATGGAATGAAAATTAAAATGAACATGATGAACTGTACTTTTTTTCACAGTTCCAGTAAAAAACACATGAGTATTAGTATATAGTTCTATACATTGTCTTGACCATAATTAGAAAACAACTGCCACAGCATATGATATCATTGATATGCCCTTCAAATACAATATATAAAGTTAACATTGCAAAAGAAAAAAAAACAACTTTAACACAAATTTCTTATTTTTTCCATTCCTTATACTCAATGTGTATATCATGTGTTATTAGTAAGAACAAATAATTCATTACATCTTGATCGCTTGTGATAGTACAGTTTTAAAAAAATCCATGTGCATCTTTGTTCATTGTACATTTCATGAATCAATTGATAACAATGCTGAAGCTTAATAAAATGTCAGATAACTAGTTATTATGTTTATTCTTTAGACTATTGAATTATTATTTTAGTGAGACACAGCACTATGCAATTTGTTAAAGAAATATAAAAAATAAAAAATACATTATGCAACATCACATAAGTTATAATTACTTTACACCAAATTTATTTGAAATCTGTGGTAAGCCAGCAATAACTATTTAATAATCTGAAACAAACGATCAACTGTAATAAAAGAGGCTAGATTTTCTCTGCTAAATATTCCCAGCACTTATCTGGCATACATTTCATATATGCTACATTATTTCACTAGCTGGTGGTCTAAATTGCATAAAGCTGCACACAAGCATACTATCTGATCAATGATGGGCTTTAATTTAAGGGGTATAACACCCTGCAAAATGTTGAAACATTTAAGTCGACCAATTGCCCTCTCTACATGTATTCTTGCCCTAGCTATGCGTCTTGTTTTTGTTACAGCTAAACCCGATAGTTGTCTGTTAAAAGCAAAGGGGGGAATGTTTAGCGTAGCTCCTTTTAGAGCCAGGTTTCCTCTTATCAAAAAGCCTTGATCTGCCATTATGTCATCCCCTCTTTCTATACATTCTAAAAATCCAGATTCTTCAACTATCCGTTTATCAGAGATGCTGCCAGTGAATAAACTAGACAAAAAGCAGATTGATCCTGTTGGGGTAATTGCAATTAATGACTTTAGAGTATTGTGGTGCTTATAAGATGACCAAGTAATTCTCTGTGAGGAAGGTAGACTGGGTTTTTGAATAAAAAACTCTGTGCAATCAATAATACACCTTGTGCTGGGGAAATATTTAAAACAACTTGGTAATTTTTGTGCAATTTGATTTCTAGTTGGCCATGAAATTAGAAATTTAAGTTCCAATGCAAGAAAAGTTGTCCATGTGAAAAAAATTTTACTGACAGTTCCAGCCTGTACACCAAAGATAGCACCCAACGTTTTTGTATCTATCCCTCTTCTGAGGCGCATCAGGGTCATCACCATTTCTTCTCGAATAGATAATAGTCTCTTTGACCCTCTCCTTTTCATCTAAAAATGTAGTATAGTTCTTGAAGAGTTCTATAAATGTCACTAACAATAAATACTAAATTTTAATTTAAGTTTAAAACTTAAACCTATTTTTCTATACACAATTTGAAAATTTTGAATATTATAAATTTATGTAAATACTTGAAAATCCTATGAAATGTGGATGATCAAATAAGGCAAGAATGTACAATTATATAATCCCTAGGAGTTAATATATTATCTTAATAAGAAGCAATAATACCTCATTATTTTCCAAGTTAGTTTCCTTTCCCCTCCAGTATGAAAGTCTGGCAGCTTTGTCTTTGAGCAAATTGAGCAACAGAAAGAAAATTCCAAGAGAAAGCCCTGTTATAATATTCATGGACATAAATTATTGTGAAAATTATATATCAAGAAAATACCGTACTAATTTATGCAAGCATCATAACAGTGTAGACAGCTTGATGCTAAATGAATAGTCTAAGATTTATTGAATTAAAATTAATTAAAAATAGATTTTGACATACCAGTGTAGAATTTACAGGATGCATCATTCTTCAGGACATCATTCATGACATGGCTTCTTCTCATACTGCCTTTGTCCTTCAGATGAATATCATCATATGCTGATAAATCTTCTAATGTAACATCAGTCTGACACTGTATACTGGTAGTGGAAACAGCTGTGGTGTTGGCTTTTGAGCAATATGAATGGTCAACTTAAAAAAAGAAAAATAAATTGGCCATTTTGAAGCAAGTAAATTTTGCCACCAGATTAAAACCAACCCTCAATCCCCCCCCCCCCCAAAAAAAAAAATATAGATCATTAATGTGATACCTTTGGGGATGTCATCCTTTCCTTCTATTACAGGCAACACTTCCACATCTTCATTATGTATTTGTAGTACATCACAGTCATCACCACTTTGAATTCCTTCAACTTCTGAAGACATTTCTTCATGGGCACCCACATCCCAGCAAAATACCTCTGATTAAAAAATGTTATTTTCTAGATGAATTATTAATTAAACCAAAATACATAACAGAAAAATTATTACTCAACAATACAACAGATCAATTTTAATACTAGTATATAATGAGTGATATTCATTTGAACTTGCCACAAAGGTGATTTATAGATCATGTACCATTTTTTATTTTATTTTCCTGTGGTCCATTTCCGTTGTCAGTGTCAACTCTGGACAACACTCGTCTCTTTTTCCTGTATGCTCTCTCTATATCAAACGAAGTGCCTGATGCTGGCAACGGGTCTGGGTGCTCTTCAGTAGGCCTTCCAGATACAAAATGCTTGGAGCATATATAAGTGGACTTGTTTACATTAGCTACGGAGAAGTTTTTTCCTACCACACAGTTTCACCCACCTCTGGCATTTATCTGCCTGGGAAAACGGTTTTGGAAAAGGAATCCACGTTACTCCACTCATGTGCTGTCTTTCTGAATACCGTGAATCACTCTTACAGGTTCCCCAACAACAATGTTTAACCATACTGGCACTTTACGCAAACTATAGCTGTATCAGGTCAAATAAGCCGCGCGTCGTAATGTCTGGTATCGCTTAAAGCATTGATAATTATGACGTCAGGGCTCCTTATATCATGTATAATTGGAAAATCGACTATTCCATAAAAGATATAAAACTGGGATAGGTTAACATTTTGTACTCATGCAGCTTATTCCGTAAAAGATGTAAAATACAGCTCATTCCGTAAAAAAAGATAAAAAATGCAGCTTATTCCATAAAAGATATAAAACTGGGATAGGTTAGCAATTTGTAATTATGCAGCTTATTCCGTAAAAGATTTTTAAAAATGCAGCTTATTCCGTAAAAGATATTAAAATGGGATACATTTTATTATCATGCAGCTTATTCCGTAAAAGATTTAAAATGCAGCTTATTCCGTGAAAGATATAAAACTGGATTAAGTGAACATTTTAAAATCTAACAGCTTATTCCATAAAAGATATAAAATGCAGCTTATTCCGTGAAAGATATAAAACTGGGATAGGTTAATGTTTTTTAAATCATGCAGTTTATTTCGTAAAAGATATAAAACTGGGATAGGTTAGCAATTTGTAATCATGCAGCTTATTCCGTAAAAGATTTTTTAAAAAATGCAGCTTATTCCGTAAAAGATATAAAACTGGGATAGGTTAACATTTTGTACTAATTGTAGGCCTACAAATAATGTTTTGTACTTTGGTAGTATCTTTAAAAATAATAAAATTAACAGCTTTATCTTGGTCAGCACTAGCCATAAGCATCATGCTGATTAGCAATTTACAGTTATTGATATCTTGCAGTAAGATACAGACAAAATTACCACTTATAACAAAACAGAAGATGATTAGGGAAAAGGTGTCAAACATCTGGCTTCATGCATTTAATATTGCTCGATTATCTAATTATTATTAATAAATTAGAAGTACCCCATGTATAACATATTAATTATTAAGTTATACTTATAAAAAGTTGCAAAATAAAATACCAATTAAAGAAAATAATGTGTTTACTCCATCAATTACAGCAACATGCAGAAGAAGCTTTACTTTAGAATTATAAGTAGCCTTGTTTAATTTTTTCAACAAATATGAAGATCTGTCTTGGAAAAATGCTGCTGACTTTATCAGAACGTCTGTGTTGAACAAATGCCGCTGACTCTACCAGAGGGGTCTGTCTTGGACAAATGCCGCTAAATGCCGCTGACTCTACCAGAGGGTCTCTCTTGGACAAATGCCGCAGACTCTACCAGAAGGTCTGTCTTGGACAAATGCTGCTAAATGCCGCTGACTCTACCAGAAGGTCTGTCTTGGACAAATGCCGCTAAATGCCGCTGACTCTGCCAGAAGGTCTCTCTTGGACAAATGCCGCTAAATGCCGCTGACTCTGCCAGAGGGTGTGTCTTGGACAAATGCCGCTAAATGCCGCTGACTCTACCAGAGAGTCTGTCTTGGACAAATGCCGCTAAATGCCGCCGACTCTACCAGAGGGTCTGTCTTGGTAAAAATGCCGCTAAATGCCGCTGACTCTACCAGAGGGTCTCTCTTGGACAAATGCCGCTAAATGCCGCTGACTCTATCAGAGGGTCTGTCTTGGACAAATGCCGCTAAATGCCGCTGACTCTACCAGAGGGTGTGTGTTTGACAAATGCCGCTAAATGCCGCTGACTCTACCAGAGGGTGTGTGTTTGACAAATGCCGCTAAATGCCGCTGACTCTACCAGAGGGTCTGTCTTGGACAAATGCCGCTAAATGCCGCTGACTCTACCAGAGGGTCTGTCTTGGACAAATGCCGCTAAATGCCGCTGACTCTACCAGAGGGTCTGTCTTGGACAAATGCCGCTAAATGCCGCTGACTCTACCAGAGGGTCTGTGTTGGACAAATGCCGCTAAATGCCGCTGACTCTGCCAGAAGGTCTCTCTTGGACAAATGCCGCTAAATGCCGCTGACTCTGCCAGAGGGTGTGTCTTGGACAAATGCCGCTAAATGCCGCTGACTCTGCCAGAGGGTGTGTCTTGGACAAATGCCGCTAAATGCCGCTGACTCTACCAGAAGGTCTGTGTTGGACAAATGCCGCTAAATGCCGCTGACTCTACCAGAGGGTCTGTGCTGGCCAAATGCCGCTAAATGCTGCTGACTCTACCAGAGGGTCTGTCTTGGACAAATGCCGCTGACTCTACCAGAGAGTCTGTCTTGGACAAATGCCGCTAAATGCCGCTGACTCTACCAGAGGGTCTGTCTTGGACAAATGCTGCTAAATGCCGCTGACTCTACCAGAGGGTCTGTCTTGAACAAATGCCGCTAAATGCCGCTGACTCTGCCAGAGGGTGTGTCTTGGACAAATGCCGCTAAATGCCGCTGACTCTACCAGAGGGTCTCTCTTGGACAAATGCCGCTAAATGCCGCTGACTCTACCAGAGGGTGTGTGTTGGACAAATGCCGCTAAATGCCGCTGACTCTACCAGAGGGTCTGTGCTGGCCAAATGCCGCTAAATGCTGCTGACTCTACCAGAGGGTCTGTCTTGGACAAATGCAGCTAAATGCCGCTGACTCTACCAGAGGGTCTGTCTTGGACAAATGCTGCTAAATGCCGCTGACTCTACCAGAGGGTCTGTCTTGGACAAATGCCGCTAAATGCCGCTGACTCTACCAGAGGGTCTGTGTTGTACAAATGCCGCTAAATGCCGCTGACTCTGCCAGAAGGTCTCTCTTGGACAAATGCCGCTGACTCTGCCAGAGGGTGTGTCTTGGACAAATGCCGCTAAATGCCGCTGACTCTGCCAGAGGGTCTGTCTTGTAGAAATGCCGCTAAATGCCGCTGACTCTACCAGAAGGTCTGTGTTGGACAAATGCCGCTAAATGCCGCTGACTCTACCAGAGGGTCTGTGCTGGCCAAATGCCGCTAAATGCTGCTGACTCTACCAGAGGGTCTGTCTTGGACAAATGCAGCTAAATGCCGCTGACTCTACCAGAGGGTCTGTCTTGGATAATTGCTGCTAAATGCCGCTGACTCTACCAGAGGGTCTGTCTTGGACAAATGCCGCTAAATGCCGCTGACTCTACCAGAGGGTCTGTGTTGTACAAATGCCGCTAAATGCCGCTGACTCTGCCAGAAGGTCTCTCTTGGACAAATGCCGCTGACTCTGCCAGAGGGTGTGTCTTGGACAAATGCCGCTAAATGCCGCTGACTCTGCCAGAGGGTCTGTCTTGTAGAAATGCCGCTAAATGCCGCTGACTCTACCAGAAGGTCTGTGTTGGACAAATGCCGCTAAATGCCGCTGACTCTACCAGAGGGTCTGTGCTGGCCAAATGCCGCTAAATGCTGCTGACTCTACCAGAGGGTCTGTCTTGGACAAATGCCGCTAAATGCCGCTGACTCTACCAGAGGGCCTGTGCTGGACAAATGCTGCTAAATGCCGCTGACTCTACCAGAGGGTCTGTCTTGGACAAATGCCGCTAAATGCCGCTGACTCTACCAGAGGGTCTGTCTTGGACAAATGCCGCTAAATGCCGCTGACTCTACCAGAGGGCCTGTGCTGGACAAAGCCGCTGAGTTTATCAGAGAGTCTGCCTTGGACAAATGCTGCTAAATGCAGCTGACTCTACCAGTGAGTCTGTGCTGGACAAATGTGATGGTATGATGTTGTTTGCCATGATTTTCGTGACAACTTACATGAAGGAATAGCCTTCTTTCCTATTTTTTTTTTTTTTTTTTGTAGAAAATGATGTGGACGTTTTTGCGTATAAAAGTACGCCTGGCTAAGCGCATGCCGTTTGTTATGAATAAATTTAAAATATGTTCTTGTATTATACATGTTTACATGTTATGTAAACACCTTTTGGAAAATTTCTACATCACATTGGGTTGCGTCACCCATTATCATATTTTTAGATTAAGCATCACTCGGCACACCTCGGACGATTCCCACTTCATCTGATAAGATGATTTTCCCGAAGGGATTATAAGCACATGGTTTGGTGTGTATTGAAATAATTGATTTTGTGTTTTAATTGGATAATATATCATGAAGTTGACAGAATCTAAGACAGTCGGTAAGTACAAATTTAGGTATAGATAGGAGTAAAATAAACCGCAGATAAGGTTAAAGTTCAAAAGGGGTCAAAGATCATCGCATACCACAGTGGACGAATATTTCACATTGTGAAGTTATCTCCCGTTGTTGATGTGACATTTAGCTACTGGAGTAGATCCAGATTTTTTTTCGGGCGGGGGGGGGGGGTGTCACACCTCGGTCAAAAAAATTCCTGACAAGCAAAGAAAAAAAATAACTTAAAAGAAATCAACAAAATAAAAACATTGATAGTGGAGTCGTGGGGTCAATGTTTTCTAGGGGGAGGATGTCCAAAGTCATTTTTTATTTGCTTCAGTATATGTACAGTCTAATTCAAATAACAATTCAAATTCCAAAGGAGGGGGGTTACAATCTCCCTAGCCACTCCCTGTCTCTGAAATTACAATAGAACTTGTGACTCCAAAATAGTAGATTTTTTTTCCATTTGACTATAAATATATACATATTTTATTTCTTGTATTTATATTATGTCTGTCTGTTTGTCCGCAGAAACTTTAACCTTGCCCATAAGTTAAGCTTTAAGTGGGATGGGCTATACACATGGCTTCCACATTTCATAGATTAATTCCTTGTGACAAGACCTTTTATTTGGGTGCCACCAATTTTGACCTCTTGACCTTGACCTTGGATTTTTACCCATTTTTATCAAACTCTAAACTTGGCCTTATTTGGGTGCCACCAATTTTGACCTCTTGACCTTGACCTTGGATTTTTACCCATTTTTATCAAACTCTAAACTTGGCCTAAGTTTTGATCAGTAGGTGCTAGAGCTTTTATGCTTAATATGTGTATTCATTGTGAACTTTCAACAGGTATAAATATGTTTGACCTTGACCATAGAGTTTGACCCACTTAAAAAAATATTAACCTTGGCTATTAACTTTTGAACAGGAAGTACTAGGTATTTCTTATTTCACATGTGTATTCCTGAGAGAGGTGTTTTCACAATAAACAAACAAATTACTAAAAAAAAATAATAAAACATGAACATGTTGGTCATATTTCTTGTTCTCCCTTGAATCAGAAATGATGATATAAATATTTTAAAAATAATTATTATAACAGTTGAAAAGGTTGTGCATCTGAAAATTGAGTAAGTTCTGTGGTTGAACTAGCTCTGATATGTTTAATAGCTTTATTTTGCTGCTCAAAACACCTTGATTGACTATATTCAATCATACTGTTTTCTGAAATGTTCAATTTTTTCAACAATGGATACATGTCATACATTTTCAGCTTTTCAAAACATTGCATGAAAAAAACTTTTCAAAAACTGTAACCATGATAACCCTTTCAAAATACTCATCTGAGCTTTTCTTGTTTCCTTTTGACATTATGTCTGTTGTCCATATCTGTTTTTCTGGAAAGTTTTTACATTTTTAACTTCTTCTCTTGAACCACTGGGTCAATTTTAACCAATTCACATAGAAATATGTACATTTCTATGTCAGTCTGTTCATTAGTCTCAATAAATTTAACTTGGTCATCACGGTCATATCTATTGAATGAGAAGAGACAAGGCATTCATATTGAACATATGTATTTGTATTTACCTGTGACAATGGCATGATTATTTTTTTACATTGACCTTGAAGTTTGACCTACTTGCAAAAAAATTACATGTTTTAAATTCATCATTTTGAAAGAGAAAAGTTAGGGCATTCATAATATACGTGCATGCATATCATTACCTGTGATAAGACCTTTCCAAATAAATCGTGACTTTTGACTCTGTGACCTTGAAGCTTAACCTACTTTTCAAAAATGTAGCATTTGCTTATAACTTTTGATTGAGAAGAGATATGACTTTCACATATGATATGACATGTACATTAATTACTCATAAGAATTCAAGATGTTTCCCAGCATGCGATGATGTTTTACCCCTTTATGTTTCACCTAATTTTCAAAATATTTAACTCTCCTGAAAGATGATAATGCTGATGTGTAAAATGTACATGTAGGAGGAGTTCAGGGAAGAGGGGACTTTTTGCATAAAAAACATCACTTTTCGACCCCTATTTGACCCCCCGGGGCAATATCAAAATTCCGAAACCTTACTGCACATCTACATAACACCACCAAATCTCTCCCAAAAGATGATTGGGCTACTATGTAAAATGTAGGAGGAGTTCAGGGAAGACGGGGCTTTTTGTACCAAAAAACGTCATTTTTTGACCCCCATTTGACCCCCCGGGGCAAAATGAAAATTCCGAAACCTTACTGCACATCTACATGACACTACCAACCATCTCACAAAAGATGAATAGGCTACTATGTAAAATGTAGGAGGAGATCAGGGAAGACGGGGCTTTTTGCATAAAAAACGTCATTTTTCCACCCCCATTTGAACCTCCAGGGCAAAATCAAAATTCCGAAACCTTACTACACATCTACATGACACCACCAACCATCTCCCAAAAGATGATTAGGCTACTATGTAAAATGTAGGAGGAGTTCAGTGAAGACGGGGCTTTTTGTACAAAAAACGTCATTTTTTGACCTCCATTTGACCCCCCGGGGCAAAATCAAAATTCCGAAACCTTACTGCACATCTACATGACACCACCAACCATCTCCCAAAAGATGATAAGGCTACTATGTAAAATGTAGGAGGAGTTCAGGGAAGACGGGGCTTTTTGTACAAAAAACATAATTTTTCGACCCCCATTTGACCCCCCGGGGCAAAATCAAAATTCCAAAACCTTACTGCACATCTACATGACACCATCAACTGTCTCCCAAAAGATGAATAGGCTACTATGTAAAATGTAGGAGGAGTTCAGGGAAGACGGGGATTTTTGCATAAAAAACGTCATTTTTCGACCCCCATTTGACCCCCCAGGGCAAAATCAAAATTCCAAAACCTTACTGCACATCTACATGACACCACCAATCATCTCCCAAAAGATGAATAGGCTACTATGTAAAGTGTAGGAGGAGTTCAGGGAAGAAAAGTGTGACAGACGGACGGACGGACGGACATGAGTAACAACAATATACCTGAACTTTCTTTAGAAAGTGCGGGTATAAAAATTATTGCCATTAAATGCAAAAAATTATTGCAATTAAACGCAAAAAAATATTGCGATTAAACGCAAAAATCATTGCGATTAAACGCAGTATTATTGCGATTAAACGCAAAAAAATATTGCGATTAAACGCAAAAATATTATTGCGTTTAAACGCAAAAAGTGTTGCGTTTAATTGCAAAAGTATTGCATTTAATTGTGATTAATGATTGCGATTAAACACAAAGTACTTTGCGTTTGAACGCAATGATTATTACGATTAATCGCAATGTTTTGTGTTTAATCGCAATAATTATTGCGATTAAACGCAATAAAAATATTTCTCTCTCTGAACTGGCCTCAACAGGATTCCGTACCTACCTAACTACCCAGTCTAAAATTTATAGGTCGGAAACTGCAAACAAAGAATTTTTTAAGCTTGGCCTTAGCACTAGGAAGGCAACATTTATGAACTTGACCTTTTACTTACTTTTTTTAAAACCTTTGTCATAACTTTTTAACAGCTGGTACTAGGACTTTCATATCTCATGGATCCATTGCTTATAACAAGGTCTGTCTTTGGATACCAATAAGTATGACCTTTTTACCTTGACCTTTGTATTTGAGAAAGTTCCACAATCGCCATATTAAGCTACCATACGGTGGCATCAGTGTTTCGCAAACACATATACTGTTTAACATATTATTATTTTCATATTTATTTTTGTTTAGATAGATCGTCACTTGTAGATGGCTTTTCAGCATTTTTTAACTTCATGGGAAAATTTGGAATCAGTGGATCCTTTGCAACCATTTTCTTGTACACTCCCGAAATTTATCCAACTAACTTAAGGTATATGTTTATCCTAAACATGATTATTTCAGAATTTATATTGAATTTTCTGATTTTCACAGGGTAAGAAGCACGAAGAGAATGCCTCATATGGCAAGTCAAACGTTGCAATATTCGATCTTTTCCATTTGTATGGTAAAATTTTCCATTTGTATAATTTTTATTTGTATTCTGTAATTTTCCATTTGTATTGTATAATTTTTAATTTTCCATTTGTATTGTATAATTTTTCATTTGTATTGTATAATTTTCATTTGCATTGTATAATTTTTCATTTGTATTCTATAATTTTTCATTTGTATTCTATAATTTTTCATTTGCATTGTATAATTTTTCATTTGCATTGTATAATTTTTCATTTGTATTCTATAATTTTTCATTTGCATTGGATAATTTTTCATTTGCATTGTATATTTTTCATTTATATTGTAAAAAAATCATTTGTATTGTATAATTTTTCATTTGTATTCTATATTTTCCATTTGTATTGTATAATTTTTCATTTGTATTGTATCCGAGTGATTGTTTATTTTGGTTTGTTACGAAGGATTTCATTGGTTTAATCTAATCTTATATCGGATTTGGTTATACTCAAGATGTTCTGGGAAGTTTACACGTGTTATCCAGTCTGAACATAGACTGGCTTGCCTGTTTGATCCTCGATAAACAGACAGGTGACCAGTAATGTAAAGGGCCTTGCTCATAGGCTATCAATTATAACAGCCGATGTCTCTGCACTCTGTCGCATAGGCGTCAGAACCGGCTGCATTTTATTTCCGGAATTTTTTGTAATTATAAACTTTTCATTTCCGACATTTTTTATTTTTCATTTCCGACATATTTCAAATACAAATGTAGTACTTTTAGTAACAGATCTGAAGACCTTAATTATGAGAAATCTAAAGAAAAAAATCATAAATAAATCATTGAAATCCAATATATGAGTTTTGTAAACCTATCAATGACTTGGACGTAAATGTGGTGCTGTCACTGACATTTAATTCAATGCACATTAAGTGTGGTGAAAAAGTTTTATGCTCATTGAACTCTTTTACCTAGACTTAGCGCTAGATGTATGCATATATATGTGTAGATGTTTTTATTTTAATTTTTATCAATATTTTGTAAAAAATACTTTTAAAATTCCATTTTCACTTACTTAGAAAACCTTGAACTGCCGCACAGGTAAATTCCAGAAATGAAAACAAACTAATGTCGGAAATGGAAACAAAAAATGTCGGAAATGAAATAAAAAAATGTCGGAAATGCTATGCATATTTCCGGAAATGAAATGCAACGTCGGAACCGCGGGGGGGGGGGGGGATAGCGGGGGGAGGGTGCTTAGCCCCCCACTTTTTTTTTGCAAAAGTAGACATTATATAGGCATTGAAAATTGGGATTTAACTTTTTTTGGTTGGGTTAGCCCCCCCCCCTTTCTATTAGCCCCCCTTTCAATTTGCTTTCGACGCCCATACTGTGATCTGTTTTTGTTTCCCCGAGACGGAAACCAAAACATATCACAGCATAGGCGTCGAAAGCAAATTGAACGTAGGGGGAGGGCTAATCAAGAAGGGGGCTAAACCAACCAAGAAAAGGTAAAAAGGCACTCTCATAGGCGTCGGAACAAGGGGGAGGGGGCGTAACAAACCATACAATGCAAATGAAATATTATAAAATACAAATGGAAAATATAGAATACAAATAAAAAATTATACAATACAAATGATTTTTTTACAATATAAATGAAAAATTATACAATGCAAATGAAAATTATACAATGCAAATGGAAAATATAGAATACAAATGAAAAATCATACAATACAAATGAAAAATTATAGAATACAAATGGAAAATTATAAAATACAAATGGAAAATTAAAGAATACAAATAAAAATTATACAGTACAAATGAAAAGTTATACAATACAAATGGAAAATTATACAATACAATTGCAAAATTATAGAATACAAATGAAAAATTATAGAATACAAATGAAAAAATTGACAATACAAGTAGAAAATTATACAATACAAATGGAAAATTATACAATACAAATAAAAATTACACAATACAAATGGAAAATTATACAATACAAATAAAAGTTACACAATATAAATGGAAAATTTTACAATACAAATGGAAAAGATCGAATATTGCAACCTTTGACTTGCCATAGCCTCATAGCAAGTCATATTATTATATTCGACTGATGAAAAAGAATTGACCTATTGGGTAAACTGTGTAAAGCTAATCAACACATTAAGTATCATACTTAAACAGTTTTAAAAAGGTTTGACTTTGTGATGGCATAAATACTTTATTTATTTTTCGATGGAAAAAGTCATCTTCTTCTCATGAGAATGCAAGTTTTTTTTTAGATTTGTATTAGAATGACGCTTTGCTTACGGAGAGTAATATCAATATAAAGTGTTTCTGCAATCGAGTTTTTCGTGTCCGCTTAGCGCAGTAATAGTTGGTAAAGTACAAGTACATAAAGAATCAAAAGCTTTGCTAATGGTTGACCAACTTTTAACCAAAATTGAAAAAGAAGTTTGGCATCAACGCAAGTTTAGAATAGATTTCAGGATATATGTTACGTCGTTATCCAATATCATTGATCTCTGTCATTGAGTTCAGACACAGGCCACATTCATTTTATTAGAGGAAATGCAACCGAGTTGTTTAATGTAATACTAGCATGTTGTAAATTTCAAATTTACTAGCAGAGGTAAGAAAATTATCGTCAAAATTTTGCATTTACCTCCCAATAGTAAATCTTGTAAATTCAAAATTTACAACATAAAACCAGTCAATACCTGTTCTGTTTAGATCTGCTGGATATGGCATGGCGTCTGCCTCAGCCAGGATTGGCGGGATGCTGTCCCCATTCACCACAATGTTTGTAAGTTATTGTCGAGTTGTGACTATTATCATCATTTTCAGACCTGAATCTCTGAATGAGAAAGATTTTTTTCTTCTTTCAGGCAGCGTGGATCGAATGGGGTCCAGGAGTTGTGTTTGGAAGTCTCTCCATTGTTGTTTGTGTTCTGTTTCTATGGTTACCGGAGACCAGTGGTCGAGAGTTGCCTACAAATTTAGATGATCTTACAGATTTCTATGTTATTAAGGTTAAACAACCCAAGAAGTAAATAAATTAAAGATTTTTTTTCTTGGGAAAAATATTTTTAGCTCACCTCGAAGGCTCAAGTTGATCAAAATTTGTCCGTCGTCTGTCGTTGTCGTCGTCGTCGTTGTTGTCGTTGTTGTCGTCAACTTTTCACATTTTCATCTTCTTCTCAAGAACCACTGGGCCGATTTCAACCAAACTTGGCACAAAGTATTCTTGGGTGAAGGGGATTCAAGTTTGTTCAAATGAAGGGCCACGCCTTTTTCCAAGGGCAGATAATCATAAATTTGTTAAAAATTAATGGCATTTTTAAAAAATCTTCTTCTCCAGAACCACTGGGCCAGGAAAGATGAAACTCATGTGAAAGCATCCTCAGGTAGTGTAGATTCAAGTTTGTTCAAATCATGACCCCCGGGGCAAGGGTGGGGCCAAAATGGCCAACCCAAGTTTTACATATGAATATATAGGAAAAATCTTTAAAAAATCTTCTTCTCCAGAACCACTGGGCCAGGAATGATGAAACTCATGTGGAATCATCCTCAGGTAGTGTAGATTCAAGTTTGTTCAAATCATGACCCCCGGGGCAAGGGTGGGGCCAAAATGGCCGACCCTAGTTTTACATAGGAATTTATAGGAAAATTTTTTTAAAATCTTCTTCTCAAGAACCACTAGGACAGGAAAGATGAAACTCATGTGGAATCATCCTCAGGTAAAGTAGATTCAAGTTCGTTCAAAGCATGACCCCTGGGGCAAGGATGGGGCCAAAATGGCTGACCCAAGTTTTGCATATGAATATATAAGAAAAATCTTTAAAAATCTTCTTCTCCAGAACCACTGGGCCAGGAAAGATGAAACTCATGTGGAATCATCCTCAGGTAGTGTAGATTCAAGTTTGTTCAAATCATGACCCCCGGGGCAAGGGTGGCCAAAATGGCCAACCCAAGTGTTACATAGGAATATATAGGAAATATCTTTAAAAATCCTTCTGAATATCCACTGGGCCAGGAAAGATGAAACTCATGTGGAATCATCCTCAGGTAGTGTAGATTCAAGTTTGTTCAAAACATGACCCCCGTGGCTAGGGTGGGGCCAAAATGTCCAACCCAAGTTTTACATGGGGATATATAGGGAAACCTTTTAAATTTATCTTCTTTTCAAGTACTTCAAAGCTATGATTAGTGATATTTATATGGAATCATCCTCAGGTAGTGTAGATTCTAGTTTGTTCAAATGATGAATGATGTTTTTGGGCCTCTTGTTTCCAGTTTTACGATAAGTTCTCATGCCTAGGATTTTTTTTGTATACTTGAAACAGGAATATCCTTCATTACCTCGTGGAAAAGAAAAGGGGGAAACAGTACTACCTTGTCTTACAATTGAAAATATGTACACATAAACAAAGAGTAGTCAGTAGGGGAACATCAGATTTAAAATATAGAATATAATTTATATGCTACAAAAAAGACGGACGAGGAGGTAAAAGCACGACATACAATTTCTTGTAACCGATCAAAAACTGTAGAATAACCAAGGTGAGCACCTGGAAATAAATTCCAAACAGATACTAAATGTTCCCTACTTAAGTATCTTTTAAAACATATCTTTGTGTGTAAACGTGTATTTTTTATCCCCACGCATAAGAGTTGGAGGGGATATAGAAACGTAATCGTGTGTGAATGTTTGTTTGTGGTACATGTACAGTGTATGTCCTGTGCGAAACGGAAGTGTCATCATTTGCATCGAGATTGATGTCTAATCGAATGTAGCCTTGATTCACAGATCTGCTCTTTGCAAATGGATGCCTATCTACATGTATATGGTGCCCCTGTTAAAATTTCAGCCTTATCCCTAAGACAGTCGTACGAATCTGACTCCTAGAAATGTAGTATTAACTTCTTCTTTATGCAGTAGTAACTTATTCTTTATCTTTAATCTCTAAGGTTGTTGAGGCATAACAGAATATTTGAAGTTCATTCGAACATAAATATTGCTATCTGAGAAAGAAAATATGAAAAGACCAAAGAATTGACTGAACAATCAGACGCTTTAACATTGGTCAGCAGCTCAGTTACAATCAAGAGTTTGCATGATGCCTAAATAATTCACAAAGTTATCTACTCCATCATTACAATAAATCAATATATACAGTTAGTGCAATCAGAGATACTGCAAATGAGCTCATAAATGATACCCCGTCGAATAAACGTATTATAACGATATTATTAGCCTGAATAAGGTCATATCGTCACGCACTGTCATATAATTATTCATAATATAACGTAAATTGTCACCGACGACAAAATATCGAGTGTGAAGGTAACCAACTTCGTCCGTCTAGTTAAAAATAGTACCATTATTAATATAAAAGTACTATAAGACTGAACTTTGTACCAACTAATACTGCTACTTTGATGTAAATTCAAGTTTTATCGTCGCACAAAAGCTTACGGTCCTCACAATTCACAAAATCAAAAGCAACATTCTTTCCCAAATTTATTTGGTTCACTTGAAAATGATATTGTGAACAAGATCGATGGGAATTTGTATTCATTAAGCTTGACTGGCTGAATTGTCAAGAAGACATCAAAAAACTAAGACATTAGATATGACGTCACTTCCGATATACATGTATTTTTGTCCTGAATATCGCGCGTTATAGAGCTTCGTTTATAAAGACTTTCATTATCTTTGAGACATTATTATTTCCGTCATTCGTTTAATACATGATTTAATAAAATTCACGAATCAAACAAAAGACCTACGCACATGTATTCATATTAGAAAATCCCCCTTTCATCCTTAAGTTTTGACCTTATCTTGAATTACGCACCTCCCTGGTAATATTCCTTAGTCGTGTCCAGTTTGTGAGAATTCACTTATCAGCATCAAATGTTAAAGCAAATCTCAGATGTTTTCGCAGATTGTTACTTATGAATGCTTATCAAGATTTACAGGTAATCTAACCAAACAATCGTATGGTCGCTCTAAGAAGTGCATCAAACATCGGTTATAATTAATACAGGCCGCAAGGTTGACGCTCCAATATAGTGATAAATGCGAGATTTCGCGAGAACGCTTCACATCAAAGAAGTTAATTTATCTTCGAGACCAATTCATATACATCGAACTTTTTTTTCTTTATTTAAAAAAAAATAATAAGAGACAGAGGACAAATATTCTGAATCAGACAGTTCAAGGATCGTTGTGTGCAGGATCATTCGGATATTCCTGAATTATACAGGTAAATCAAATTCAGATATTGGGGCAATTGGAAGAAATAGCTTGTTTAATGATTTAGTCTTGAAATTATTGGCACTTAGAATTTTAGAATCATTATTCACCTACTTGAATTATATAACCGAGGTCAATTGCAGCATTGTCATTGGATTCCAAGAGCCCCGTGGTTAATCTGGAATATTAATGCAAATCCACCTCATTATTTTGCGGATATGATTGCCATTAACATTAGAAGAGTGTGTGGTTGGTGTACCAAGCATTGTCATCGGATTTCTGTCTGCGCTCTCTTTCATTATCAATCAAAGTCTGTAGAAACTGGGTAGATGGTGTAGGGGGAACAAGAGAAAAGAGATCGTCCCGTTTCCTGATTTTCCAATCGATAGATATACAAGTAGGGTAAAACTGAGTTTGTCCAAATGTTTTCAAATAAAATTCAATGACATTCCCATCCATGCCTTCCGGCAACCGAGACTTTTCAAATACGAATCTATTAAACCAGTAAATGGAAGGATGGAATCGCGGATGTTATAGATTCAAAGCAAGATGCCATTTCTGTAGGTTTATAATTACTCTTTGATAAAGTGCAGAATTGATGAAAAAGCTTTCTAATGCTAGCTATTTCTACGTCCTACAACAACACACCTTTTTATTTTACGATTACGACCCGATTCGGAGGAAAATAGATATCAAAACAACTGTCATATCTGTAACTTTTAATGGTGAAAAATATGAAGAAAAAAAAATCATGTCTTTTTCGTGCGCATATTGATTTCCCGCGGATGTGGGCTGTCAATTTCATCTCTATAATATATGCTGAGATGAACTGTGAATCAAGAAATGAGCCATGCGTATATTTTTATGACTTCTTGATCACAATAAAATCTGATGGATTAAGTATTTTTCATCCGAAGTCAAACCCTGTACATGTGTAATATAGATTTACTTCTAGTAGTGGTTAGATTGCAATTTGGATAGGAAGGTTTTCTAAGCTCTGATCTCGAAGGTATGTATATTACTTTGCATTATAGTTTTTTAAGGTGGCAATTACATAAGAACACAGTTTTACTTAATTAAAAACTTCACCTTTGTTAAGTTTTAATTACAGCTATGTTTGCTTTCGGACGGTTCAATGACATTGAGATATTGGTTATAACACGTACATCAGTGTACGAACATATTGCAGTTGAATAGAACCACTGTCAATAAAACATGCATCTTGGGGGTTCTTTTAAAGGAAGCGACGCAAGAGTATATATGCCTGGGTTTTTTTTCCACATGTCATAGGAATCGTTTTTACGCACCCCGCATCCCTGTAAAGACTGTGATTTACATATGAAATTTAGAGATAACGAACAGTATTCAAGTCCATTCAAATAATACAAATAAAACACGGACCTCTTTAACATCGGAGGTGAGATCAGGTGCCAGAGAGAAGTGAACATACCATACCGCTTTATATGTGCAGAGATGTACCAGAACTCTAAATCAAGATCATCTACGTTAATCGACGTTTACAGTAGTTTTTATAGATTTTGTTTTGCTCTGACTTTGCCATTTATTGATATCAGTCCAATAATGATCTAGCTTGTATTAGTTCTGAAAAAAAAAATAGACGCGTGTATCATTTGTTTATTTACTATAATTCACTTCTGCCAAATTGAAATTTTGATTGCAGTCAATGCTTGTAATAAAGTTTTTTTTTTATCTAAATCTAAAAAAACTACATATAAAATCATTGTTACAGCTAGAACATCTTTAAATTGAGTGAAGTTGATTTTTACGGGGTAGGGGAGAAAAAAAAATAGGTAAATCTCTCATAATCACTACATAGTTATCAAGAAATAAACATGTATGTGAATCAAAAGCAAAATAAGGAATTGAAAATAATTTAAAGAAGTGACATTATTAGTACAATACCGATTTGTAATAAAATCTTATTATTGCCTCGTCCGTACCTTGACTTATAACACTGAACAAGATTCTGTTTTGAAAAAAACCCAGTAATTTTATTGGTTAAGAAATACCGGTATTTTACAAAGCAAAATATATCTCTTGATAAAATATTTGTTCTCTTACATATATTTTTTCTTTCTCTTTCTTTTTCAAAAAGGAGCAGCATCTATTGCTAATATATATTTCTTGAACTTTGTCCAACTTTTTTTGGTCCCGTTTTCGAAGATTCGGGAGTTTATTACGTTTGCCCTGTTCGTCCGTCTGTCTGTCCACAACAATTTTAACCTTAACCATAACTTTTAAGTGAGTGAGGCTTTGACTTTCAATGTATATTCCTTGTGACAAGACCTTTCAATGGCTAGGACTTTCACATTTTACAGATGTATTTTTGTGACAAGACCTTGCTTGGGATATCAGCAATATTGACCTTGGAGTTTGACTTCAACCCTCACTATAAGCTGCAATAAGGGGGTATCAGTGTTTCAAAAAACATTTTGTTCTCTCCAAAGACGCCGAGGGTCCTTAAAATATTAGCCCCCAAAATACTAAAGATTAAGAAATGTATTCCTATTGTCATAAACTTTTTTTATGGTAAAGGGAAAAACCCCTTCATGTTCAAGCTATAATATTTTTATGTAATTTCCTATATATTAGATATTCTTCAAATAAAATGGCCATGCTCACGCATCCGAGTAATTATCTAAATGACATTTTACAGTTCGTGGTGGAAATAAATTCGTCATCATACATCATCGAAAATTAATCCTCACGAAAATTATTGATTTTACAGTACATTTAGTTATCTTTCCATATAACGGTACTTTGAAGGAGAAAAGTCTATTTGTAAAACGAGAAATCTCCCTTTCGAGAATAAAGATCGGTGTCAAAAAGTGATCATATCTGTTATAATTAACGGAAAGATCTATCTCTTTCTGGCGCTCGATTCATTTTCATCAAAAATGAAAACGAGGTTACCACGCATGACAAGAGGACATCAAAAAGTAATCTGCTTATGATATTCGACATAAACCAAATAAGATGTCGCTTTTTTATGAAAGGAGCTTAATCATAAACCAGTGATGTTGTAACAAAATACGGGTCTATTATACCATGTGCTGCTCAGGTTTTATTCTAGCATGCGCAGTATCGCCATTTACTTCGTTATGTACAGAGTGAATTTACTCGCTCGTCCTGAAATGAAGTGATCTGTTTTATTGCATGGATCTCTGTATTATCAGAATGTAAATGCAGATAACGATCGAGGCTTATCTGGGTACAGTGTGATAAATGCAGTAAAAAGTACACGGAAAAAATATGTTAATTTAATCTGCTGCAGAGGCTTCTATTTTCTTCAACATGCAGTCTCTGTAAATGAAGAATCAATTTTCGTGATTGGGAGTGCAAGAAGAGAAGCAAAGTTGCATTCTAGCTTGTATACTAGTATTACCAAAGCAATTAGCATCAAGTGAGGGTTGTTCTACGCAAGCAAAATCTTTTTTGTTTTGTTTTATTTTTAAAAATCCTTTCTTGTTTTCAGGAATAGGTTTAGTCAAAACGAAAACGTAAGTAAAACTTACATCCTTGTGGCATGTGCGTTTTCTTAGGAAGAGAATATTTTTCACAAAAACTATAATTATTTTGCTTAAAAAAGACTTTTTATGAATATTTCTGTATTGTCAAAAATGATATCTCAAAAAAAATCAAAAAAAATCAAAAAAAAAAAAAAAAATTGGAAAAAAAATGAATCAAGGAGAAATTTGCTTATGTTTTGAAGATTTCTATTTTGGTGAGAGATATTTAATTGAACAAGGTATCTTTCAGAGGGATCAACTCTTTTTGTGTGTGTGTGTGAGGGTGTTTGTGTGTATTAATAGAGAAGCATATATATCTTTAACATAAATTCACTATTCAATGAGATTTTTTGCTGTTAAACGAGATATCTCTCTTAGACAGTTAAAATAAATTTCCTCCAAGAAAGAAATATCGACATTGATACACATGTACCCTTTTAGATTTATTCAAGGATATCTCAATATATAAAAGTGCTTTCGGTTTAGATAGAAGCTAGGTCGACTTGCCATTCATGTACGTGTACATGTAGAAAAAAAGTACACCTGCACATAAAAGCATTTAACTTTCAATCTTTGCTAAAAGTCAGTAGTTAGGTTGTATGGTTAATATTCACAAGGTATCCATATTGTTTAAGTTCATTTTCAGTCATAGTTCTTAAGGATCTTTTTCTTAAGATCTTCATATACGAAGCTTTATTACATTTTTAATGAAATACTGTAATTTATATCAAACATGGATTCTACTCATATCCATTAGATACAACTACATGTACTTGGATAAAAATCCGCGGGTATGCTTTATTCATATCTAATTTCGGTTTTGACTCAATCCCTCGCTTCAAGATGAAATTTTATCAAAAACGTTTACGCAAATGAAATGTGTTTCACGGATGCCCAGTGTAGCAAAATTTAAAGATTTTTTTAATGCATGTCAAAGTCAAATGATTAGAAATGGTGTTACCTAAAGAAATGAATAAACTGTGGGGTACGAACCGTTTAAGTGTTGGTTAAAGTTTTTTTTTTTTTTTCAAAAATGGTAAAACTTCAATATAAAAAAAAAGAAAAAATAATGGGTCCTAGGGGAAAGTTTTGTCATAAAAAATTAACTTGTGGATTATAAAATCCCTAGCACCAACTGTTTAAAAGATAACGGTTGTCAAGGTAAATTCTTTTCAAACGTAGGTCAAATTCTAAGGTCAAGAACAAAAGGTAAAAAATTGTTGGTATTCAAAGAAAGGGCACATAATAAGGCATTCCCCTGTGAAAATACGAAAGCCCCTACTGGTACTAAATGATCAAGAGTTATGGCCAATTAAGGTTTAAAGAAAAAGCTTTTCAAAGCGAAACTCTCGGGTTAACGTTAAAATGAAAATAAACATATTTAAGGAAAGGTGTTGTCACAATGAATAATTATATCTGTGATGTATGAAAGCTCTAGCTCCAACTGTTAAAAGGTTATGGCCAATGTTAAAGCATTGTAAATGCTTGTAAAATGTAAATGCAGATAACGATCGAGGTTTATCTGGGTAGAGTGTGATAAATGCAATAAAAAGTACACGGAAAGAATATGTTAATTTAATCTGCAGTGGCTTGGATTTCCTTAAACATGGAGTCTCATCAGAAGAGGAATCAATTTTTCCTGATTGAGAGTGCAAGAAGAGAAGCAAAGTTGAAATCCTAGCTTGTTTTTTACCAAAGCAATTAGCATCAAGTGAGGATTGTTCTACGCAAACAAAATCTGTTTTGTTTTATTTTATTTTTTTAAACCCATTTATCAAATTCAGGAATATGTTTAGTCAAAACGAAAGTATTGTTGTGGTAAAACTAAAATCCTGGTGCCAATAAACAGAATATATTTTTTACCAAAACTTAAACTGTTTTGCAAAAAATCTTATATGACTTCACAAACTAGTTTTTATGGATAATGTGGTATTATCCAAAATAATATCTCTAAGACTCTTAACAAGTTAACACGAATCAAAGAGATATTTGTTTGTGTTTTAAAGATTTCTCTCTTTTGGTGAGAGAAATTTTATTGAACAAGACAATGATAACCTTTCTTCTTTTGTTGTACATTGAGATACATATATCTCTTTAACAAATTTACTATGCTGTGAGTTTTTTTTCTGTTAAACTAGATACCTCTCATAGACAGATAAATTGAATTTCCTGCAAAAAATATCAACATTGATATACATGTATCTTTTTAGATCTATTAAAAGTACTGTATCAAAGGATATTTCAATATATAAAAGTGATAGCTTGCTTTCAGTTTAGATAGAAGTTAGGTCTACTTGCCATTCATGCACATGTAGAAAAGAAAGTACGTAAAAGTATTTTTCTTTCAACCTTTGCACAGAGGTCAATAGATGGTCATAACGGTTAATATTCACAAGGTATCCATATTATAAATCAAGCAATTCATTTTTAGTTTAAGTTCTTTAAGGATATTTATCTTAAGGTCATCAAATACGAAGCT